TAGTTTCCCGTCCGTCACAATAATTGTTCCCACTTATGAGTTTAAAGGTGGGTGTCCATTATGTTCGCGCTTCAGCAGCGCGGAGCGCTGCTGCAACTACTCCCGGTAGTGGGTACTGTTGTTTCCGTCTAAGTTCAAAATGATTTTCCCAAAATGAAAGTCCTTATAAAGTTCTACTTTTCAGATTTTTTTCATATTTTCTAAACTTATGGTTCAAAAGTTAGAGGGGGGGGGGCACATTGTTTTTTACTTTTGGAGCGATTATTTCCGAAATTATTGTCATTATCAAAAAATGAGTTCAGTAAACCCCTATTCATTTTTAAATACCTTTCCTACAATATATCACACGTTAGGGTTGAAATTAAAAAAAATGACTTCCCACTTTACATATATACCCTAATAAAACATTTTTTTCCAATTTTTATTTTACCACTTTGTCGGCGTGATTGATACACATATTGGTACCAAATTTCAGCTTTCTAGTGCTAACGGTCACAGAGATTAAGCGAGGACGGACAGACGGACAGACAGACATGGCGAAACTATAAGGGTTCCTAGTTGACTACGGAACCCTAATAAGAGCGATCCGCACCATGTTACGTATTCCACAAATTGAGTCGTGTAAAGAACATTTTCTAAAACTTTGCATACTTACGGTTCCCTGTCTGTATATCCTAGTTTCACTTACCTATATAGTAATTTTTTTTACAAATATGAAACAAAAGAAGATAGGAAAAAGAGAGAAATGACACGTCGAAAAGATTTAAAAACTTCAATTAAACCAACATTGAATGCTGTAACATTAAGTTGTAGTCGTATGCGCAGCATCTTGTTTCGTTATAGTCAATAAAGTGATCATTCTTGGTCTGAAACCGTCAAGGCAGGTTATATCGAGAGAATGTAAAATCCTCAACCGTCCACTTGGTGCAGGCGGCAAAAAGACCTACGGTAGCTCTGTTTCACGATATGCAAACAACCCGGGATCAATCCCCACAGACATTAAGTTAGTTACAATAATTTTAAGTGCTGATTTTTTATAAAAACAGGGCGATAAACCAGCACAAAGTCCACCTGATAGTAAGTGGATGCCGTGGCCCATAGATATCTAAATTTATCCTCGATTAAGAATAAAAATGCATATGCGTTGTCACCCTTGAGGATTAAAAAGGATCTCCGGTTCTCTACACTCACCATGCGCAACACAGCAGAATGAAACTGATATTTTATGAATATTGTATTCTTTGAGAGCGTGGTCCTGCCCCGGTTGAGTCGACCCATTCGTGCTACAAGCATAATATAGCTAATACAGCTGCAACGGGGCTCTATCACTCATTAAACTGAAGTGACAAACGAACTAAGAGTCCAGATCTTAGTAAATGTCAAATGCTGCCCATGGACATCGTCAAATAAAGCATATATAAATACGTTGTCACCTATGAAGGACTAAAATCATGGAACTAGAAAAAAGGGCGGACAGAGTGTCGCTAAGAAGCAATTGACGCACCGCAATGGCTGCCGTTTAACTATGTATAACTACGCGAGCGCGTATTGGAGCGTATGGCGGGCGGTAGACTTACTATGGTGTGCATGTGTGCGTGCCGGCTTGCTTGTATTAGCGAACTGACTTACTATGGGTGCGTCAGTAATTGTTTTAAGAGATGACGTTCGCCCTTTTTTCTAGGTCTGATTGTACTGGCTTTCTATTCTTCAAACCGAACCACAGCATTGCAAGTGCTATTTGACGGTAGGAATAACAGAAGCGGTACCCACCCAAACGAACTGTTAGACAGAAAAGTAGTCCTTCCACCTAGCAAATTGGCTATAACTTTACATATTACTATTTAAACAAAACTCGCGATACCATCCATACCATCTCGATGACTGGCGGTGCACCGCCGTGTGATTTTAAAGAATTTTTCTTCCTCACACAACTTCCCTGTGGAATCGACTACCACCATAGATTTTTCCGGAACGATACGACTTCGGGATCTTCAAGTACAGCCTCCTCGCCTAAAAGTCCGGCAGCGCATCTGCAATTCTCCTGGTGTTGCAGCTGTTCATGAACGGCGGTAGTCACTTACCATCAGGTGAGCCGTATTCTAGTTTGCCCCCTCTCTTATAAAAAAAATGTTGAATTTATATTAGGCATTAAACTTTGTTATATATAAACCCGCTTCTGTGAAAAGTTTAGATAAATGAGTTTACAGTTGTTTCGTCGTAATTATGAATATTTTGTAGTAATAACAAGTTGTGTTTTATGACTGAGAATTTTTTATTCTTTCATTTACTTTCTCATTTTGAATTAAATGGGTTTATTCCACACCATGGAACACCCCGTTAAAGACGATATACGGCTTTGATGTGATATTCACTCCACTACCTGATTTTGCTTGAAGTTCTAACGAAATATTAGATCATACCGCCCAGATGGCCTTGCTGGAGTCACCTGCATGAGGTTTGTGTGCCTTGTCTTGTGTAGTCCTAGTAATAACTACAGTGACTGACTGGCATGCTTTTCGATATGAGAATATCTCTTCTAATAAATTGTTAAGGTATCTCTTGTTGCATACTAAGATGGTTAAAGGATGATTATATAACAAATAATATACCCTTATTATGTAAATGAACAAGCATCATTTAATTAATCGTGTGGTTTCGCTTTGTAATAAAATGTAGTATAGAAAGATGCGGATAAGTAAGTTCTTACTTTATGACATAAATAAAACGAGAGCTTACAAATCAAACATCTTTTAATTTTTTTACAAAGACTATAGTATCGCCATCTAGATATAATACTAAAATAATATTATACACTAGGAGACATTGCATTATGTACAGATAATCAACATTGAAATATAATTATTACGTAAAGATATAAGGCACATTTAAAATTTTCCTATCTCAATACGAATTACGAACTATTAGTTTTCTAATTATTTTAACACCATAATATACTTTTAAAAATAAGCCGCAATCTTATAGAAACTAAAAGAAGGTACACAATTTTTTTACACTAAAATTTTGCAATCCAATATCGTTATTATTATATCAAAATGCAGTCTATTTCGATTACGACTTATTTACAGTAGTCGTTTTACTCGTACAATCAATTTAAGAATATAAATTTAAGAAAGAATGGTAGGAAAACAGAAAACGACCTCTTAATTATATTTACAATAACCACAAATTGAGGTTTATCTAAAGATCGTTTAACTACAACAATAGATTTAAAAGATCATACCTATAACCCACTTTTATCGCCGTTATTTTAACTCTAAACAACTATACACACGCCTATTAATTCAAGTCAATTTATACAGATATGTCAAGAAGAAAATAAATAACGCTAACATTATCTAAATCATAAAAATCTTTATCACACAACAATGTAAAGAAAAATGCACTTTTAAATGGGCATATTAATTAAATCGAAACTTCCATTTAGTTAAACAAAAGAAACGCCAAAAATATAGAAGGGAAGACCGGTATTACATATTTGACGTCGCAATAATAAAATTAAAGAACAACAAAGTTAAATACAGGCAACAAAACTTTGTTGAATTGGAAAGTAAAAAAGCTTTTGGTATAAATTTAGTTCAAGTTTATTTCAGATTTTGATTTCTTAAAGACAAAACCATCTTTTTTATTCATCAAACTTGTGACAACCTCGTAAACAATCAATTTATGTATACAATTTAATCTAGTTCAATAATCTCGTCATTAGAATAAAAAGAAAGGACCTATATAAAAAAGACAGTGTTTTCGTTACTTTATAACGGAAATATTTTTAAACTCCAAGGTTGATTTTTCGATCGTCAGATAAAATATACCCGTCTAATAAATTATAATATGACTGAATATAAAATGGAAACAATTAAACTATTTTATTCATTCAAGTGTTGTTTTTAATTTGTTTATAATACTTAATTCCTTGAATAAACTTTATCTGAGGATTGAAAATCGGCCCTAAGTCGAATAAATTTATGAAACTTACTTTGACTTTCTACACAAATATTCAGTTATTTTTAATTTGTTTTCTAATATACCAAAAATAAAATAATATTTAAATAAAATCGCTATATTGTGAGCTATACAAAAATACATATTTGTTTTACAAACATAGAAGAACACCCTACTAGTTACTAAATAAATTTGACAAATCAAGATATTTGTCTAGGATAAAAATTACGACTAAGATTTATTATAATGTAGAAATCACATTAACATTTAAATTGAAGCCAAGTCATCAAATGATGATTGATGATAAATTTTATACATATAATGATTCTTCATTCCACAAAATTTAAAGTTCACTATTTTAAAAATATGTAATCAGATATGTACATGATAAGACGCATACCAAAATCTATTCAGTACGTTTAATACTTTAAGAAGAATACTACATTTTTGTTTTACAAGCGCCATCGTTACTAACGTAGCAAATATGTTGCTTATAATTTTATTTTACGGTTGTACATAAATATTTTTGTCTTCTTTAAACACAAGGTAAGCTTTGTAACCAAACCATACAAATAAATTGGTATTTTCTTAAATATGTTTAATGAAAGAAACTACAGACAATTCTACATGCCTAATACCAGGGCATTAATTGGTTTATTAGCCGTTACCTGGGGCTAAATACAAAGCACAAAATAATTAATTAAAAGGAACTTTACTAATCCACAAATTTAAATTATAGTTAAAAATCTTCAAAGTAAACTTTAAAGGATGATCTAAGAAAGTTCCTTTGTCATTTTCACTACTGAAGTCAATAAGTTTATAATAGAGTTCCATTTTTATATCTATGACGTTTATTACGCGGCCAAAATGTCAATAACACTATAACTTATCATGTAGACTATAAAAGCACACGATGCAATCAACAACAAGTGACTTCCGATAAACACTAATTTAGTCTTGGAAACTGTTTAATTTCAATGCAGTCCGAAATAACCTCTGCCTTACGTTTAAATGAATAACACATCATCATAGGGTTCCGGCTACTCGGAAAGTAAATCAGGACTTAGTCGGTCAATTTTGAAGTTCTCCATGTTCCACATTTGTCGCGGTTCTTCCTCGTTGCACGACTCCATTACAATCTTGTCCTTGTTCCGTGATATCGCCATGCACTTTTCACTTGAACCATGCTTTATTAACTTCGTCTGCAAAAACGTTGTAATAAAAAATCAACAGTAATAAATTATAAAACGAATAATAAATCCATTTTTGGATTACCACAAAGAGAAAAAATCTTGAAAACGGCTTAGGAATTTTTACCTGCAAATGTGCAAGACCTAGCACAGTAACCTTTAATTATTTATAATCCACGTTCATTTCGTAAGTACGCCATTTTCGTGTGAATGTTTTTTTTTTTTGATTTTTCTAGCTTTTTAGTATAGTGTTTTATTATAAAATTGTAATGAAAGTTTTTGTGTGAATATAATTTATTTTTTACGTAAATAATTTCGAGTAATATATATTGAAATAATTGTGATTTTAGCGCTGCCGACATCCGCTTGGTATATATTTTTTTGTTATCAAAATATAATAGAATATTTTTGTAATGAAGTAAAACCTGACTTTTGTTTTGACCACAGGATAGACAATTTTGTATAGATTTTATAATGCCAAACTTCTTCATAGAAAAGTAGTATCTAAATATAAGTTATAATGGTTTTAAGTGCCAGGCGCACGCGACTGCAAGGGAATTTATGGGATTGAAGGGTTAAAATAATACGGTGTAAGGAAACTTATCTTTTAATAAAATTGAGTGAGCGTACAACCCACCTAGCAGTAAGTGGCTACAGCAATCTACGAGGAAAAGATGAAATGCATCACGTCTCGTTATTATTCTTTCTTTACCCCTCGGATCCGAACACAGCAGTGCTTCTTATCGACAAAAATAAGAAAGATGGAATCCATTTAGGTAGGTTTATTACGTGGTAGAGCCATGTTGCAATTATATTAGTAGTATATATCACGGTTCTTCCCAGGACAGAGGTTTTCTTCGAAGCATTGGTAAAGTACAAAATGACTTCTTATCTATATTGAATAAAAAAATATTCTATTCTATAGTTGTAGCACGAATGGGTCGGCTCGATTGGGGTAGGTCTACGCTCTCACAGAACCAGTGTAAAATAGCAGCTTAACGCTGCTGCGTTTCTTATGGTGAGTGTAGAGAACCAGAGACCCTTTTTACATGAAATGAGGTACTCCATCTTAGTACTGACGGGTGACAACGCATCTGCATTTTGATTAGTAATCGAGGATAGATGAAGATGTCTCTGGGCTACAGCAATCACTTACCATCAGGTGGACTGTGCGCTCGTTTGTCACCCTTACCCTATAATAAAAGATGTGGTGCCAACGACAAAGGGAGAAAAAAAGAAACCTCATACAAGCCACGTGTTGCCCAAATATCAACCAACGCTGCACGTGGTGTGTTCTGCTGGCTATTTGACGAACGAGGATCTAGCGATATAATAATAATGTCTCCAGACCGAATTTCAGCCAAGGCGGCCAGCCTCAACGGAGGCTAGCCATCGGCGCAGGACAGGATTATAGTGCCCAAGTGTGAAGTGCGTCAAGCAGAGGTGCACTCTCTATTCCCTCACTCTCATAATCCGATGGGAAGGTAAACCGACACGACCGGAGAGAGATCAGGCGCGAGACCAACGGCTTTACGTGCTTTCCGAGGCACGGGGGTGAGACACCGCCAACTTCCTGACTACCTTAACTTACTGAAACCTATCCAAAGCGCTGTACCTAAATTTCGCAGTCTAGTGATGGGAGTGCTGCATTTTCAATACGAGTGTAACGCCTCTGTGCCTTCTTAGCGTGGCCATTGAAGCCAAATCTTCCACCATACTCATCACACTGAGAGTGAGTTACTTTTAGATGTAAGGCATAGTCCACCTGATGACGTAAACTGAATAAACACTTTCATTTATCCTTCATTTAGAAATGAAATGCGCTGTCACCCCTAAAGTTTTATTAGAACATCAGTAAAAAGTGTCTCCGGTTGTAGCCTGCCTCGTTGGTCTAGTGGTTGTAGTAGTGCGACTTCTGCTCATGAGGTCCTGGGTTGGAATCCTGGGCGGGCCAAAAATAATTAATTATTGAGTTTTTCCGTCAAGAAATTCTCAGTAGTTGCCCGGAGTCAGGAAGTTTCTCAGTATCACACTCCCGTGCCTCGGATAGCACGTAAAGCCGTTGGTCCTGCGCCTGATCTCTGTCCGGTCGTGTCGGTTTACCGTGCCATCGGATTATGAGAGTAGGGAAATAGAGAGTGCACCTGTGCTTGCGCATACACTTGGACACTAAACTACACTATACTAGCCTATAGTGTAGTATAGTGTAGTAGCACTATAATCCTGTCCTGCGCCGATGGCTAGCCTCCGCTGAGGCAGGCCGCCGTGGCCGAAATTCGGTCTGGAGGACATTATTATTATAATATATACAAAAAGAAACAATACACATTATGTTTGACACTGAAACTAAAAAGGCTACTAATAATGGCATGATAATTAAAATAATTAGTAGTTTTCGCGACACAAGCAACACACAAATAGGATTGTGCAGCATTTTACAAAAAAAATTACTGTACAATGTTCGTGTAATGCTTTTTCTTCCTTTTTATTAGCACAAAAAATATTCTAATATATCAAAACTTACATTATGATCGTAGAGCCACAGCTGGTTGCCCTTTGCGCCGTGACAAGGATACAAGACAACATCGTGACCCGAGTAATCAAGGCACGTCTCATCACGACGTATTTCTCCATTCTTTGAATACATCCAATACTGAAAATTAATAATAAAATATTAAATCAACCAAATTAATTTAATGTCACACATAGCACAACACACAATATAAATGCTGTAAGAATGAAATGTTTCCTAAAACTTTGAAATGATCTCTAGATAAATAAAATTTTACAAATGGGTTTTTGATTAATGTTTTAAGAGGAAATAGTTTTTTTATCATTCATAATTTAAGAAAAAAAAAACTATTTCATGTTTGATCTTTTTATTATATGACGAAAAAATTGCACTTCATTGATAGCAAAATATTTTAACCTTTTATAACTACTTTATTAATATTTAAAATTACACGAAAGATGTATTATGTTCATTTAGAAGTATAATATTAGTCATGCCATTTTCCCATTTTCCCTTCCCATTATAAAAGTATCATTAATGAAAAAGCATATTCAAAGAGAAAGACGTAGAGTTGCTTCTTCTACACATACATATATAAATACACAACTTTTAAAGTCACTTAAATGTACATATGTAGAAGTATTTTACAAAATTACTTTTCTAATACAAATCACTAATTAAACATTTTGTAAATAATTAGTTACATACTAGGAAATGACAACCCAAATATAATGAATTTTGACTAACATTAATCTGATTTATATATATATATATATATATATATATATATATATATATATATCGTTATATACATAATAGATAATAAAAAAATATATAAATGCAAGGAAACATAAAGACACTTATGTAGTAGAAACGTAGCGGCAGTACCAATGTTTAAGAAATGAAGGGTCGGCCATTACACGGAAAGGGTACACATATTTTTTAATTAATTTACAATTTCTAGTTTAAATAAATTCGATTCAGTTACTTATTCAGAAATGATTACTTTAAACGTACAATATTTTGATTTTTGTAAGATTTTAAAGCATTCAAAGAATGAAATTTCTTGATATACTTATGTTATATTAGATAACTACGAACAAGCAAATTAAATACTATTATGGATTAGTTTTCTACAGATGCAAGTTAAGTGCAACAATGTCCAACTTACCAGAGTAAAAATGAGCACCAACAACCAACAATGAGTTAAGCGAAAGCGCTACATAATTGTTAAATGATGACGGCATCCTTAGACAAACCTGATTGCCGTATTCCCCATGACAAGGCCAAACGTTGACAGGTTTCCTCATGTCCTCAGGAGCTGCACTCGAGTCGATGCACATTTCCGAAGAAGGATTCGCGATCTGATGCCATTGATAATCGTAAAAAGGCGTGCTAAAGCAAGCGTGCGTATTACATCGTCACTCAAACCCTAGTGCATTTTAAGTGATAATGTTACAGTGAAAATAGATGGGAAAACTAAACCAGCTACTTAATTGATCCGTTTATTCGAAAGAATTATAAGATGTAATGACGCAGTACCCCAATTAATGAATTTCATATACGATCTGTCATTTTATTGAGGTACCTGATTACCACCGCCGCGATGGCATTTGTGGATCATTAGCGGATCTGTTGCGTCTTGAACATCCTCTACAGTTTCACCGTCGATGCAATAATGACTATTGAACGCTTGATTTCGTATCTAGCATGCAGCGTTACAAAAACACATTAAGAAAAATATAATCATTCCGTGCTTCATGTGTAATGTCATACCTTAACGTGTTCAGAGATGTGCTTAAGATCAAAGAGTGCAGTAGTAAAAGAAAAACAATCGAATTCAAACAAAAAAAAATCCCTTAAACAATTCTAAAACGATGGTACTGCCGCATAAATGCGAATTTTGAATAACTAAAGACCTGATTTCCTCCCTGCCGGTGACACGGGTACAGTCCGACGGGCTTATGATGGTCGGACTTGCGAGTGGGAGAGTCCAAACAAGTCTTTTGGAAGGCGACATTTCTGATCTGCATAAGTAACAATTTGGAAGAACACGTGGTTAATGATTGCACTCATTATTTCAAGACATCTAACAATTTTTAAATATGGCATCACATACATAATAACAAAATTATTACGACCTGAAATACAGTTTCAATATTATCTGAAATAAATTTTCTAATACGTTAGTATATTTTATCGTAATCATCAATATAACATCCCATGTGCCGAACAGGTCTCCCCATAGATAGCCATTAATAAGATCCTTAGATATTAGCATCCATCCATTATCAGGTCGCAACTGCACCTAATAATAGGCTGAAGAATGACCGAAGCCACGACTATCGGAACTGTCTTCCTTACCGCAAATATTTAAAGTGCCAGCCTATATACATACTTCCAACTCTTGGTCACAGGCCTCCTCTCATTTCTGTGAGGGGTTTAGGGCAAGGATGTATATACCGCACTGCCTCAATGCGTGTTGGCGAACGTCACATATCTTCGAAATATCTTATTTCTTAATATAAAAATCTTATTTCTTAGACAAACAAGTCTCCTCATGATATTTTCCTTCACCGTAGAGCACGAGCCGGCGGGGATCGAACCCAAGTTCACGTACTGAGAAATTTACAGCGAACGCTTAACTCCTGACCTACCACGGTGATTCGCAAATATTTATTTTCTTATATTTAATTTATTAGTACAGTAATTAAGATAAATGTTTAGCTACATACCTCGCCATGTGCGACGGACTCCCCAGGTATGAATAACTCAGGGTATATATTCTTTAAATACCATTCAAAAGATTTGCAACCAAGGTTTTCTCTCAGCTGTTTTCTGCTAGTAATATCACCATAATCTCCCTTATCATTACCTACTCTTTGGTAATAGTACTTAGCATAGTCATCTAACCATACCTGAAACATTGTTGTAAAATATTTTAGCATTTATCTAAATGACAAAAATAAAATGACTACCGGATCTAAAGAGCAACCAATACCTCTGCCAAACGGACTGAGTTTTTCTTCAACACATTCACCCCAGTTCGCCATTTGTACGGTGAACGTTTTCTAAATATATGACCGACATGAGAACAGGGGACAATTTCCAACGTTCCGCCACACATCCACGTCTTAAACGATAGTTCCAAGTTCTCTCCGCCCCATATGTCAAAGCCGCTGTCGTAAGTTCCCAGTCTTTCGAAAAATTCTTTGTCTATAGCAAAAAGACCACCGGCCATAGTCGGAGACCACACAGGCTCTGCTGTATGTTTGTGCCTCGCTCTTTCTCTTGCTGGTACTGGATGCCAATTGAACTGGAGATTCCAGTCGAAACCACCAACATTGACCGAAGACGAGTCCCTGTAATGATATTCTAAAGTATTGTCGTCTATAACGTCGATGACGGGGCATACTACTGTAGATTTGTTTCTTGCAATTCTATCTAAGAGGGGTTCCAACCACCCTGTAATTAAAAGTACATAAAATGTTAATAAAATATTAAGTGGAAACAAATGGTATCATAGATGAAACTTTCGTTACTGTTTGTCTCCGTTACCTTCTGTACACTCGCAGTGACTGTCCAGGTAAGTTAGGACAGGTGCTGTTACGTATCGAGCTCCTAGAAGCCTAGCCCTTATGAGACCTTCTCGACGTGTTGCTCGAACTATTCTAACTTTGGGAATTGAAGACATGTAGTCGTCCAACTGTTGCATTAAATGTGCTGTAACAGACAAAAACGCTTTTAAAAAATGTACAAATAATTAAAAATCATTTTACGAAAACATAGATGAAGATAGATGGACGAAAGTTAATAAGATTTGTCAACATAATTGTTCTAATATCATTTTCTAAATAAGTTTTATTAGTACTATATAACTGACATTTGATTATGTGTCGATATTGTCATTTTTATAAGGCCTATTCAGGAAATATTAATTTATCGACTTACGCATATCCGAGAAATCATCAACGAGAATTATCTCCTTTATCAAATGAGGAGGTGATCTATCTATCACCGAGTGAACTGTTCGAAGTAAAACTGACCATGCTTCATTATGGAAACATATAACAACAGAAGTTTGTGGAAGATCTTCTAAATAACGGCCAGGTTTTTTACACCTGCAAATCATAAAATAGAGTTTCATGACGATATTAACAATGAGTATAATCTACGATAATAATAAATTATGTGGTCATCGGAAATTTAAAAAAAATGGCATAAAATCTCTATACAAAATAATATTAGTTTACCAAATGATTGCCTCAAAAATGCCTTACGCAAAATACTCAAACCCTTGAAATTCTCTATCATCTAATACGCATAAATTTTAAAGCTGCGAAAGGTTTTTTCTTTTAACTATCTTCACACTAAGATTTTCTCCTGTATCGAGGGGGCAGGTTATATATATATAAATTTCACAAGGACACATCCAGACCCGGAACAATATTTGTAGGCCACACAAATACTTTTCTAGTGCGGGGTTTGAACCCGTGATCGCAGCTCATTCAGCGCTGCAACTCATTGTCATACATAAGCCACTGCGCCACGGACCCGTTAAAAAAAAAGCTTTAACTTTGTTCACATTAATATTAATACAAATGAGATAAAAAATAAAATTATGTGTATTAAGATCTCACCACTCATCCCTCGGATCAGGCAGCTTTCTCCGTATTGAAATAAGATCACTGACATATTGATTAAAGGCGTTTTTCTTCCATCCCTCGGATACAGCTAGTTTAGCTTCTTCACTTATATTCTTCGGTAAGACAACCGGTTTACCAAGCTCTCCGGGTGCGTCGTTCGAACCCGGAGCGGCGATTACACCTAGGCCTATAGGATGTGAATCATTAATGACGATTGTAGTTCAATATCCCTTCACAGATATCGTGTGAAATTTGTTTAAACTCTATATACGTATAGAAAAATGTAACCTGTTTCTATTCAATTTAACTTTAGTTTCACTGACACATCTGAAGGATAGAAAAAGGAAGTGATTTTTTGCGATAGCTACAAATCAACGAAGAGGCTAAACTAATAAAAAACTAAATTAAAATGTTTATATTTATAAGTAAAAAGTTTTTAATTGCCATTAGGTTACTGTCCTATCTCATTCCCTCACATGTTAAATCCTATAAATGTAGATATATGTTCGTTTTATTTTAGTGTCTCGTTTTCTTGTCGAGTTTCAAATCACAACGATTTTAAAGAAGTTTTTATTATTATTCCAAATTTAAATTATTTCAAATCCTTTGTTTTACGCATGACGAACGAAGCAAACCTTTTAGTTCGAATGCATGTTACTTAGAAAACAAATGGGCGGAGACTGAGATACACATTGTGTGTTTTGATAATCTTGGCATTTTATTATTTTTAAAAACTACAGTTTTAAAATAAAATAAATTAAATCTGAGACCTAATTCTATTATAATCCCAATCAGGATTTTCATCAAAAACCTTGCGATCGATTTGTCAAGACTATGTGGTTCATATTAACTTACTGTCGTTGATATATATTTATGGATGCACTAAGAGCGGGAAACTACCGCGTTTTAATTGCGAGTAAAGTTCACTTCATCATAATCTTAATCAAGTGTAGGTTTTTGATCGAAATTCTAGATTTAACTTTTGTCATATTATTGATCAAAATCATAAACAAATTATTGCATGATTATTTTCTATGGTTAATATTGGGAGTTTTACATTGATTATATAAATATAGATTAATGACATGAATATTTAAAAATGGACTAATGTAGAGTAAGTAACCTTGCTACCAATGTTGTTACAAAAGTAACCTTTAGGTTTTATTGGTTACAAGTGAAAATATTAATAATGTATAGGTTAGGGTGATGGTATACACAGGTAATTTAATCACGCATGCATTTTTTCTTTTCTCTTTTTCAGACCGTAAAAGTTTACAGCTAGACATGCACCTCCCCCATAGTTTTTTTTTGCAAGTATTTACAATATGACGATGGCAGTATTCGACATCTTGCACCTTTAACGCTGCTCTCTAATGTCGATCTTGGTTTTTTTTATTGAATAAGGGTAACAAACGAGCACCTAGTATACCTGATGGTATATGAATACTGTGGCCCATATAAATCTACATTTATTAAAAATCAAAATGCATATGCGTTTTCACGCCTGAGGGCTGAGATGGAATATCTCGTTTTCAGTAAAAAGCGTCTCCGGTTCTCTATACTAGTCATAAGAAACACAGCAGCATTAAGCTCTTATTTTACGATGGTATTCTGTCTAAGCGGGGTACCTACCCGGTCGAGCCGACCCATTCGTGGTACAACAATAATATAGCCTTTTTTATAAGATTTTTTTAAGAATTTGTATAAGAGGTTTTATTGAATTTGGTTTTTTTGTCTGGCGGTTCACTTCAATTTTCTTAATAAAATAGAATTTTTGTCAAGCCAAGTATTATTTCATCTAATGGTAATTAGTTACCACAGCCTTCAACAGACTTCAAAGTACTAAGATGGAATGTCTCTTAGCCTGTAATTATAGCTCTCTATACTCTTCAGACCGAAACACAGTAGTGCACGCGCTGCTACTTGGCACTAGACATTAGCAAGGGAGTGTTTTCTATCTAGAAGGATTTTAAACAAAAAAAAAAGAGCCATACCACCTAGTATCTATTAGAAGTCATAATATTTTTTTGGGATTCCCCAAAGTCAGCTCATAACTAACCAATCATCAACGGAACGAAGTCGAGTGATCGATGCTTTAATGCCGCCACCATACGGCAAAAAAATCTTGATAGTTTATTATTGCACTTACTAATAAAGCTTAAAGTAAATGACTAAGCTATTGACAACCCGATATAACCGAAATAAATAAAAATTAGGCAATGATAAAAATTAATAAAGAAAAAAGGCAATTATTACCTTCGGGTACTCCTGCGATCCGACCAATCCAATCGACCCGCGACTGCGCTGTTATGAATAAAGGCTTTATAACATGCATAATGTTAAAACAAAGTAATTAGCTGTGCCCGTAACAAGCGAACATGCAATTATATTAGTTATATTAAGAATACAAAGTCATTATTAAATCTGAACATTGTATTAAGTTCTTAAATCAGAAGGAATCTCGACTTTGTATTCATCCAAATATTCCGTAATGTTTCCCTCATTACCATTTCTATGGCTCCGCTATTCGAAAAACAATCGTTACCATTGAGTTTCCTCAAGGAATGTAGATAATACTAGAAAAAGGGGCTTTGTAATTTATTAAGGATATAAGAATCGCGTGACAGCGCAATGGAAAACAATAAAGAAAATTTTTGTTCTTGTGAGAAAAGATAGATGAGGGTATTAAAATTATAAATGAAATTTTTTTACTTGAATTGTTATTTAAAATTCTAATATTTTGATACGAATCATTAAAATTAATAATAAGATTGTTTAGTTTGATCACATTCAACCTAAATTATTATTTTGTTAGGTATTTCAAATGGTAAGAATACTTACCACTATTTAATATATGTACATTAATACTGGAAGCCATAAACCAAACTTCTTGACTATTTACACGAGAAATTAAAATTAACATCGTGCAATTGTTTATTTTTTTAAATAAAAAAGGAAAATTAATAATTACGCTTACAAGACAAAGCTCATGCTCCATAAGAGTACACTAAAATTCTTACCATCAGATAGGTTGTTTCCATATGATTCACTTTTCTTCTTTCCAGATGTTGGCTTTGCCATTTTCAGTGGTTTTGCTTCGGCATCTTCGTATTCAATGGGTGGTGCGACTATAGCGTTCCTCGTTCCACCATTGGTTGTTAATAAAGCTATCATAAACCATAATGCCGTCAGTACTAACACTGCTTTCAATATCAATGTTCGCCTTCGCAGAAAAAACATAGTATAGTATTTCATTTTTATATTTTATACTTGGATATGAATTCTTTTAATATGAACTGATTAGTTGCTAAATCTCTTTCTTCCGTCCTTAATTATATTATTTATTGCTATGGAATTATTTTTAAAAGGATTTGAGCAATATTGTTTTATAACTAAAATCACAAGCGGAGACTAGTATTTAAGGGAAAGATATGTTTCTAATTATGTTCACAACTTTGCTGTGATATGATATGATATTTGCTTTATCGATATGACAGATATATAGTCCCTTCCACTATCTTCTACATCACATCAATATTAAAACGTGGAGGCTATAAATTTGCCAAGTCACGTCTAAAGATGACAATTTTCTTTCTAGTTTTCTGATTCATCTCTGATATTTTCCCGCACGTTTGTAGTACACTTCCATGTCTTCAAATTGAATCCTGTAAAGAAAAAAAACACAATTTAATACTTTTTTCCTAAAATTCAGAAGTTGAGAGAATTCTGTAAATATACCTCAAAACATATATGCAATTTTTAAAGGAAAGACAAAGCGTTGATTTGTTAGGGTAAAAGGCAGATTTAAAGTTTGTAATATTTTAAGTCAAGCCTCTGTTATTCCCGGTGTCTATAACACCTTGCTTTTGGACCGAACTTAATTTCAAATATTTATCTGTAGACTATGCAGTAGCAGACGGTGGAATAATTAAATAAGTATCTTCATGAATTCTTGTTATTTGGCTAATTATAAAAGTAATTGTTGAATCAGAAAAATATATAAAGACTTCAATCAGAACAATATAAGAACAATATATATAAAAAGGATCAACAAATTTCCATCTTCATAAAATTGGATTTATTAAAAAATCATCTCAAAAGAGAGCAAAAGTATTATATATATATATATATATATATATATATATATATATATATATATATAAATGTCTACATATAATATATATAATATTTTCGATATTATTCTGGTGATTAAGAATACTGTGTTTATTAATTAAAATATCGACAGTTTTCAACAGCACGTACACGATAATTTAACATTATTAAGCATTCGTCCTGTGCTCGAAAAAATAAATACTTGTGCAATATTATTAATGGAAGGCGAATGCAGTGACTTTATTACCAAAAAAATGCTTGGTAATAAGGTCAAGGATAAAAAAATCATTTATTAACATATAGGACGTTATAATAATAACAACGATGTCCTTCAGACAGAATTTCGGGCAAGGCAGCCAGTCACAACTGATATTGTGTGTGCACATGTGAAATCTGCATTTCCTCAATCTTATACATCTTACTAGTCCGATAGGATGGCAACCCGATACTTAAAGGGGAAGAGATCAGGCACAGGATCTACGGCTTTACGTGCTTTAAGAGGCACAGCGTCACACCGCCAGCTTCCTGATTTCGGACTGCTACTGAGTAGTTCTTGTCAGAGAAACGTAATGACATGACATTATATACTAAGTAGTAGAACTTCTCTTGTGTCTAGAAGTCCGTCAGAGCCTCGGCGTTCATGGACTGCAGTAGCCACTTACCTTACAGGTGGACTGTCAGTTTGTTTGTTACTTCTCTTTTATATGAAAAAAAATGTTCAAATTTAAGTTATTATATTTAGGTAAAACTCCTGCATAATAATATAAATATATTAAATGTACGTATGTACTAATTGAGTCACTAATTGTTCTTTAGCACTTTTTATGTGGTAGAGCCAAGCTGCAGGTATATTTTTTGTTGTAGCATGAATGGGTCGGCTCGACCGGGGCAGGACCATGCTCTCACAGAATAAAGTGTTTCGTATAGTGAGTGCAGAGAATCGGAAACCCGTTTTACTGGAATCGAGACATTCCATCTTAATCCTCAGGGGTGATAAAGCATTTGCATTTTGATTCTTAATTGAGGATAAATGTGGATATCTACGGGCCACAGCATCCATTTACCACCTGTCCACCTCCTTTACCACTTTGTCACCCAATGCTAAAATAAAGAAAAAACTTTCAGCTTCCCAGAACTAATGTAAGACGAGGCATTTTCGTAACTCAAACTTTTTAACGCAACTGCTGATTAAGTTTATTGAACTACGAAACGTATTTATATTATTAGGTATTTTTTTGAAAATATTCCTTATATTTAAGAAGTATGTGGCTCAATTAATATATAACATTTTTCATAATACATGCCAACAATCCTGTACAAGTTTATATCTATTCAAAATTGTAATAGATGTTTTGTTAAATTTAATATCCGAATATCATAAAACAAATAACAAAAAATATATTTAAATAAACAAAATAGCATATTGTAGTCAACAAAAATATCAGTGATGACTCAAACACTCTAGAAATGGTAAGTAGCAAAATCTCTAATGGCTGAACTTGGTCGTAAAGAAACCTTTGTGTAAGGGGTAAGAGGGGTTTCCCCCGTACGACTGATGGATTGCTCCGCTAGCTACATTATCGGAGTTGGCTGTCGCTGCCATTTTTCAACCGAGAACCTCGCGATTTGTAGGCGAAAGGCATTTGTAAACGAAACTAAAAAAAAAACGGATGACTAAATTGTAGCACTTAACATTCAGCGGCGATAACATTTTTAATTCTAGTAGATATTTATAGCATGCAATGAAATAAATGCACTTGTAAAAACTAAACTCACTATGAGCTCAGTTAATAAAATAATAAACTGTCATTTCTTTTATTTACATACCCGTTTAAGACAAATATGAATGAAAGACGGAAGTGTGGAGATTTTGTTTTATTTGTACTTAGGCAAAAAAGTATGTTACGGAAAAGTTGTTATTATATGAGATTTTGAAAAAATCTGTAAACAATTTTTTTAAGCATATTTCACGTAAAATTGTGTTTCCGCTTGTAAACAATTAAATAAAATGGAAATTGGTTATCTGAATACAATCGTTAAGGTTGTAATCATATTTTAGATAATGAGTAAATAAATCAGTAATCATGTTTTGAAAAGTAAATGTCTTAATTTGTTGATTTAATTTGCGATTTTTAGATAATACGTATTAAAGTATAATATTACCTAAGAGTATCTTTCTTGTTATAAGAGATTATATTTAGATTGATTACTTTTGCTGATTATTTTTTACGGCTCTAAGCCAGTGCTTAAATACAATCTCTCCTGATGGTAAGTGGTGGTTTAGCCTAAGATGGTGAAGCGCAATGACTTAACAAAAACCTATTCACTCTTGCCCTGAAGACACCCACATTGTAATCGAATGGAAAGACAGATGCTGGCAATTTATTCCACTCTTTTTCTGTACGCATGATGAATGATGTAGCAAAACCGTTTGTTTCGAATACTTGGTAAGTCGACAACGAAAGGATGGAGACTGGCCGAGCGTCTGGTTGTCCGATGGTGTAAGTGAGAGGGATGAATTAAGTTATGCAATTCCTGCGCACACTTCGAAATGCATCCTGTAGAAAACCGAAAGAATCACTACTTTGCGCCTGTGTTAGAGGCTTTTTACAAAGAAACTTTTTACTGCTAGCTGCAAACTTACCGTATTTTAAAAGTAAAACTATATAATTATTGGTAAATTTAGCTGTTATGTCGGATTATTATAAAATTATTTATGGTCCTTTTACAATCGTAACAAATCATATCGCCACAATTACTTCGACTGAGCTCCATTCAATCATTACAGCTATAAAAAAGTCCACTGCTGAACATAGGCCTCCCCTATAAATTTCCTCATAGGGGAGATTTTACCACAGTTGCCACGTTTGGCAGGTGGGTTGGCAACCGCAATTTCTTATTATTTTCAGTTTTTGTTCAACTTATTTTCAGTTTCTCGCTACCGCCTCTCACCACGCCTTCTGAAAAAATTATTGCAAGCGGATTGCCCCCCAGAATCTCACTTTTTTATAGGATAGGGTGACAAACGAGCACACAGTCCACCTGATGACAAGTGATTGCTGTGGCCCATAGACATCTACAACTATCCTCAATTACGCATCAAAATGCAGATGCGTTGTCGCCCGTGAGGACTATGATGTAATGCCTCATTAAGCTACTATATTTAGCAGCATTAAGCTACTATTTTACGCTGGTATTCTGTGAGAGCGTAGTCCTTCCCCAGTCGACCAGGCCGACCCATTCGTACTACAACTATACTTCTAATATAACTGCAGCATGGCTATACCTCGTATAAAACTTCAAACTTCACTATCAAAAGAATTTTATTTGGTAATGTCTTAATGCCAAAACAAATTGTAAAATTACATTTAAAATGTCTAATTTGATTATTGATAAAATATTATAGGTAAAAAAAGTAAAATAGTAATACCTTAAGCTTTGTAATCTAAGTTTTTATTTTAATTCGGTATTCAAATACAAATTTACACACACACACACACACACGACACACACACACACACACACACACATAAAGTAAGCTCATTTAATGACCAAGAAAACACTTTACTATAATATCGATTACGATTTAAGTTAAAGCACTAATGACGCTTAATTGAATAAAAAAGTTGCAGGTTCCTAACCGGCAACATGCTAAGTTACTTTTTACGAAAAGTAGATTATGTAATTTTATATAGGATTAAAATAGGCGACTGTATAAGTACAATTGCAAACATAAACCTTTTAAAGCGGCTTTAGTATAATCAAATATAGTGAGAGGTTTCCAGTAATATCAAATATCAAAAATACAAGATCCATAAGAAAAAATCCAAGCTTCTCAGCAGTCCACCTGATGAGTGCTGAAGCACAGGACATTAACATTGATGATCTATTAATAATCAAAATTAAGATGCGTTGCCGTCCCTGAGGACTAAGATGGGATGCGTTGTTTCCAGTAAAAGGGTCTCGTCACTCACTCACTCACTCATTAGACGAAACACAGTAGCATAGTGATTAGTGATGCTATTTCACGCTGGTACTCCGTGGAAGCGTGGACTTTTTGCAGTTCAGCCGAATCATTGGTGATGCAGCGATAATATAACAGCAGCGTAGCTCTATCATGCAGAAAAAATGTTTTATTCATA